GTTCACAGGGTTTGGACTTTGTTCCTCGAAGCTGGTGGCAGAAGCACTGTGCAGAGCTGAAGTGAACCATGAAAATTTCAAGATTTTTCAGATCTCCTGTTTGATATCTCCCTCTCCTCTGAGTTTTTTTCCTCCACTCCACATAGAGAAAAACTTAAATACATATTTTTCTAAGAGATTGCTGTCTAAATTTTCCTTAAGTTAAACCATGTGTTTTGTTGGAAACTTTAGATATTTATCTGCTTTTCTGTGTTTTGTTTTTTTTTTTTTCTTTCTCTCTTATACTTTTACCATCTCCTTAGGGACCCACAAAGCAAAACACCAATGTCTCTTCCAGACAATGTTAGAAGGACAAGAGATAAAGCAGGGTTATATTTGCTTTCAGAAGAGTTTAAGATAACTGGTTGCCAAGCTCTCCATCTGTGTGGATGAAGAGCAGTGGATGCAGAGCCATGCACGTCAGCTCCATGGGGAGCAGGAAGCAAAGCTCCTTCCTTGCTTCTCCAGGGACAGTGGACAAACAGTGTAGACAGTAGCAGAAGGACTTGCCCATCTCTAAAAGGGTTAGAGCTCTCAAAAACTCCTTTAGTTAATGCTTGCCCTTCTACCAATGAAATAAAGGGCCTTATTCATGTTTTCAGTGGCTGTGAATTTGGCAACTTCCAAGAACACGATATAATTTCTATTTTTAATAACTTGGTACATGATTAGAACATGGAGGAATATATAGAACATAACAGACCAAGAATAGAGCAATAGATGATATTTTCAGTTTTAATTTTTCATTTTTTGGCAGCAATTTTCTGGGGGTTGTCATAACCATCATCTGCATGGCCATTTCCCAGTAGGAAAGTCAGGTAGATCTGCCCCTTCCCTGAAGGGTATTTTTGAATTAGAAATTACTCATGAGTGTCAGGAATAACTGAGAAATTGTAATCCAGTCCTACCTGGGCTGTTCCCTGTAACCAGAAGTTTCTTACACTCTAAAGCCACAGTGAAGTTCTCTCCTCTTTCTGGCCTAAGATTCACATGGGAATCCAAAATTATGGTAGGTGATAAATGTAAAAAAAAAATCTGAGTAACCATTTCGTCTTCCTTCCTGTGTTTTGAGATTAAAGAATCCTCATTCCCCACCAACTCAAAAGCTATACTCATGGCTTTTAAGAAAATGGTTACTTCAGGAAAATTCCTTTTTTCAGCTGTGTATCTAGGTAGCCAGTAAGTTCTGTCTGTGCAGCTTTTATGAACAGGTACATGTGGATTTCTAGAACAAAACAGCCATAAACTGCAGTGACACTGATGACAACACAGAACAGGAACTAAATTTAGTCCCTGTGTAAAGGGGGCACTTGGCTCAATGGTGTGGTTTGCTTTGGAATATTAAAAGTTAACAAATGCGAAGCATGCAGCTCACTAGTGGTGTAGCTTTGGGGATTATTAGGGAGGATATTAATTGAAGTAGCTCAGGACTTAATCCAGGGAGGTAACTTTAAAGGAGCTGGGAACAGCAAGCAGGAACCTAGCACTGCTGGAGAAAATGAAGAAACAGCTGGAGAACAGGGCCAGCCTCACTTTTATTGTGCACAGCAGTGAGTGGCATCAGGAATAAGTCAGGCAATACTGAACTCCTGTTCAGTTTGTGGGGTGTATTTCCTGCTCCCAAAACCTGTGCTGTGATTGTCACCTAAATGAGATTTCATGAACAGCAGATAATCCTGTGGGTTGGGTGTGGAAACTTTTACTTTGCTCTGGAAGATAGAAATAGCAGAGTGAAACAACTTCTCTGCAAAGAAGAAAGGATTCAGGAGGAGGGGGCATGAATTAGTCTCACTTCACTGAAGCAAGTCATGCTACAGAGCTTTACACTATCTGAGGAATGGGCTTGTGTATGGATAAAATGATGGGAGTATTATCATTCTGCCTTAAAGTGCTGTAAAAGGAAGATTTTGTTTGTTGGAAATTTATGATGGCATATAGGAGTGTTTATGTGAACAGCAGAAAGCAAAAATGCATTCTCTAATATCCTGACCATGTGTGCTTGCTAGGCTTAGCTTGGTTTTCCTGTGACTGAACTTTAATTTCAGTCTACTTCCCCTCCAAATATCTGTTTTATTCTCCCCCACTTCTGCTGGTTACTGTGCTAAGTGTAGTGATGTATTGTGAGAAGTGCCTTTGTAACTAGGCTGTCTGCAAAGGACCATGTCCAAAAGAACAGAGAAAGAGATACACAGAGCATGAAAATCCTGTGGAGACTGACCACTGTGTACACCAGCACATGGAGATGTGTATTTGTGCAGGGAGGAAAGGAGAAGCAGAGCAAGAAGTTTAGAACTTAGGTCAGTCGTGAGAACTGACCCTGTAATGCTTTTTGAGGCTCTTTGCATGTGTATCTTTGATTCTCTGTAATGAGTAACGTACTTACAAGGGATTATTTCATCTCCCAGGGGACAGCCTGACCCCTCTCACCTCCCCTTATCGTGGGCGTGAGGAGCCACGGGGGAGGCGAATTGTGTTTCGCCCTTCTCTGAAGGGTGTGTGCAGGGACAGAGTCTGGCAGACTGAAAAAATCCAGCAGAAAAATGAATTCACTGGCCCTCAGTGTGGCTGTCGAGTGTTTGATCTTGGCTGTGTGGCTGTGGGTGCTGGGTCTGGCAGTCCCTGGGATGGGGGGCATGGATATATATAGATATATAGATATATAGATATATATAGATATATATATACATAGATATATAGATATATATACACATACCTACACCTTTTAGTACACTAGCTACACCCAAAGACACTCCACTGAAGTGTGTACACATTTATTAAGAAATCCTTATGTGTATTTTACACCTATTTTCCTCCTGATTTAAATGTCCTGATGAATATTTATTATACCAAATTAAATTTTAGTAGCATATTTGGTTGTCGGGAATGAAATCTTTATTATTATTTACATATTCTTTTGTTATTTGCATAACTTTATTTACATCTTCAGCTTTATTATTAAAGCACACATACAACTTTTAAGGTAGAGGCAAAGCCTTTGAGTAGGAGGAGGCTTAAATGCAAGTGTTTATGCTGCTAATATCTGCCAGAGAAAATACAGAACAGAAACTCATACCTAAGCTCACACACTCAGGAAGAGACATTCCTAACGTCCTGTTGCTATTATCTTTTTTTCTTCATGATGAATTTAAAATATAGAAGGTTGGCATGTGGAAAAGCAACATGAATTTCTGCATCTGATCTAAATCTATGCAGTGAATATCTAAGAAGCAATCAATTTGTCAGGAGTTTTCAGACTAAAGTTCCTATAGCACATGGCTTGTAGGGAGCAGTGATTTACAATTCCCTGTGAAAGCTTTTCTGGGCTGAAAAAGCTAATAGATGATGTTGCTATTTAAGTGCTAAGAGAATGTTTTCAGCCCTCAAAGGTTAGGATCAAATAAAAGTTGTGTTTCTTGGAACACACAAGGGAACGGTTTTATCCTGAACTGATGTGTCTCTGTTATTTATCTGTTTGAATTCATTGGAAAATAAATGTTTTCACCAGGGAAATATTTCATTTTAGTATGAAGAGCCATTGAACACATACATCTGCCTTGGTACAAAATTAGCTGTGATATTAAACTCGTGTTCAAAGGTATATTGGCAAGCATTCATGTGGAGTCCAAAAACACTCGTTACTCTTGTTTGATTCTGCAAAGCTGCTGTAGGTTTTCCATATTAGTACCCACACAGCTACCTAGTGACTGAGAGATGGATTTAACGCCTTAGAGATGTGACAATTCCTTGAGGACTCTCGTGGCCTGTCTTGATATGGAGGTCTTAAGTACAATTTATGAATTCTGGTTGAAGTTATGAAGTTGCAGGTATGAAAAATGGGAGCGTCCTGGATTGCTGCAGATAGTGAATCCATCATTTTCTCACAAGGTCTGTCACGTTCTGCAGTATAATGACCATGGAGAGTCACTCATCTTAATGCCTTTGTTCTGAACAGGGAGTCAGGAGAGCAGATTTTCCCCCATAATGCCAGGAGAGGGAAATAAGGTCTTTGGTAATTTCTTGGACAGAAGCAAGAGGATGAAACATTTGTTGAAAAAGAAGTCATGGAGGAACAAGGAACACAGACAGAGCTCCGAGGAAGGAATAAATAATTTCCTAAGGGAAAAACCCAACCTAATGGCAGGACCCAGAGCAGGCCAGAGAAAGTTGGCAAGTAGAGCTGAAAAACTCTCTCTGAAAAGAAGCCATGAGACAGCAGAAAAAAATCCTCATCAGCTAATGAGCTCAGATTCCTGTCCAAGGAATTCTCCAAAGTGCTGAGGATCCAGAGAGAAATAAATATAAGCATTGGTTTTTTTGTTTATGTATCTTTTGACTTCATGATAAGTGACAGGGATATTTTGTACTTGGACACACATGAGGATGTGTAAAGGGTCCTTGTGTTTAGAGTTTGCAACTGCTAAACCTAAAATCCTCTGGCTGGGGAGGATCCCCTGATGAATAGCCACTCACAGATGACACTGCACTCTCTCCCAGCAGTGAGTTTCTATTCTTTTTTTTCACTCTTGGTGTAGAGGTGACCACTTTTTGCCAGTGTCTGGTTTCCTATTGCCATTGAGGGGCTCTTAGAGGGCAGAGCAATGGACACAGTTTGGGTTCGCTTTGCTGACAGCCCCCCTGTGCAAATTCCTTTTGGCAAATTGGAAGTCTGGTCTGAACCATGCCTTCTGCATCTGAAACAGAAGAGGTGGGGAAAGCATTAGTTACACAATTAACTTCATTTTGTCACACTGAAATCTCTGTTCCTTTGCTTTGCCAGTCAGGCTGTGCTGAACCCCAGTGAGAGGACTTGCAGTGTGTTTTTGAACTTGAGAAATGACAGAGGCCTTTAGCAGGGGATGTAAAACATAATTCCTGCCACTTCATCTCTTTTCAGTGACAGTATAGTGCAAAGCAGTGCTGAGCACACAATGCAGAGTCACTTTTTCCTGTCTCTGCAAGATGTTGTTTTAAAATTAGGTGAGATGCATTGATTTGAGAAAGCCAGGAGCGGGGCCCAGAGGAGGTGAAAGAAGAGATGCTACTTGCTCTGTTAGAGCTATTTACTGACCAGCTTTTATTTTCGTCTTTTATATTGCTGAGAAATTCATACATTGTATTTGCCTTTTGTGTACAGCTCTCAACAAGTATCTCTTTGTCAGCCTCACAAAGGGCAATAAACTCTGTGTTGCAAATAAGGCTCAGTAGCCGCTGGACATTATGACTAATTGTAATGCAGCATATATCCTTGAGGACTATAAACCTATATTAAAAGACAATGGTTGAGAGAAAAGCTATTGAATTGAGATAGTACTCATGTAACCCCATGGGGGCTCAACAGACAACAAGGAGGCCATTGATACCAGCTCTAATACAAAAAGCCACACAGACAGAGAGTCATCCAAACCAGTATGGTGTGTGGATGACCACATAGTTCAGTTTAATGCTGCTTTTGTTTTGTTCTCACTTTGAGGCAGACAACGCACACTGGAACATCAGAATTAGTTCTGTTTAGATTGCTGCAGAGGGAACAAGCGAGAAAATTAATGGAGCAGTGCCCCCCTCACCTCCTCCTGTTTTGTGCCAGCTTGTCTGAAATCTGCCCAGTCCCAGGGTAAATTCTGTAATAAAAGTGAAAGAAAACATTGTTGTCTTCTTGGAGATTTTTTTTTTTTTTAGTTTAGTTTAGTTTAGTTTAACTTTGTTTTTCTAAAAGACTGAGAAATTTTCTTTTGAAACTATCAGGACAGTTTTCAGTTAGGATATGAAAATGTGAGCAGTCAGGTTTTAACATGCATTGCAGCTGAGGGCAGAACTGCTCGGAAGCTGGGAGAGATTTCATGCTGAGGAATTCTAGCCTTGAGTATCACCCCTTGGGGTTGTTTTATCTTGGGTACCCCAATATTGTATTAGTCACTGAATGAGTTGCACTAAAAATCTCTCCATCACTCTGGAGTGATATTTTTTCTCTATATAGATACAATTATTTAGGTTGCAACCTGTGTGTCTATGGGCACAAAGCCTGTATTTTCCTGAGACCTGTCTGAGATACAGATGATTCTTGAAATTGTGTTTCAATCTTTGTTCCAATATTAGGAACAAGAGTGTCCCTATAACCTAAAGATGACCAGGCCTGTAGTTAGAGCTTACTTGATAGACTAATTAATTATAAACTCCACCCAGAAGAATCCCAATCTATTGCTTTACTAGCATTTTCAGAAAGCCAAGGAAAGATCTGTAAACAGAAACAGAACAAGGACCTACTTTCCTTTATTTTTTTATTGTTTCATTTACACATAATATCCTCTGTTAAAGAGTTTTCCTAGGTACCCCCACTGAATCACTCAGAAATCCTTTTAAATTCCACGTAAAATTTCCATCAGTTTGCACTATGGGAAGGTCATAGTTATTTTTCCTCAGCTTTTTTTTTTGGTCTCGTTGGCTTAGATTTAAATTTTTCAGGGCCTCTGTAAGTTCAGTTGCTGTTGCAATGGGTGTGTAACTGCTGCCCAGGACAGATAAATGCACTTCTTCCAGCAGGTTTGCTCAAGCCCCGTGCAGGACCCTGCCTTTCTCCCTCTTTCCTAGTATCTTTTCTCTGTCACTGGATGCCTCTCATTCTCTTCTTACTGTTCTTTTTAACTTCCCCCCAGTGTGATTTTATTCCTTCTTTCATGGAACGATTTTTCCCTGACTGTAGTTTCTCAACAGTGTCCGTATAGCACCTCCATCTGCTTTTGTCCTGTGAAGGAATTGCCTCTAAAGAAACACCCTAAGTGGGAATTATGCTTTTATTGGAGCCAATATTTTACCCAGTGAATTAGTCCCAGTGGAATGAATAGGACGATTTGCATGCTTAACATTAGGCACACTGAAGTCCTTCACTAAATCAGGTCTAATGTGCACATTGAACTTCCCCTGACTTAGGAGAAATTCTGCAGTCCAAAAAGCTGTGATTTAAAGCCACCATGTAAAAACCTGGCTATGCTGTGGCCAGTGACAAAGCTGACTGTGGTGTCTCTGGAACCAGGGTGGTACCTCGGGTGTTGAGTCCTTAGACAAAATACCACAAGAACACAAAACCTGCAGTCAGGAGCCATCCAGAAAATGAACCCTGCCTTGTGCTGAAGGATTTGGTATTTTAAGAGTTAAACTAAAAATTTGAACATGGTAATTTCGTATGAATTTCACTTCTGCCTTTTTCCTGTTAAATAAATTTGTTTCTTTTTAAACTGACTTCAAGAAAGAGTAAGAGAGGGGGAAAAATCCACCTTTTTGTTAAATTAGCTTAAAGCAAACAAACTAAAACTTCTCAATGTTGTCCAATGCAATTCATTATGCTGGTGCAGTGCTCTTTTTTTTTTTTTTCTCTTCTTTTTTTCCCCCTTTCCATTGCCTGAATAATGTTCTTTGAAGACTACATCATCAATAAACCACTCTGGTGAGGTTTAGAGGGCCTAGAATAATGAATAACAATTAGGGGCATTTAAAAGGTAATATTTTTTCCTGCAATTTGGGAATTGATTTATGAAGTTGGGGATCCTCCAATTTCATCAAATAAATGGTTTCTTAAACCAATTCTTCTTACCGTCATGGTAACACCTTTAGATCTGGCACTGTTAGCAAGCTTTCTTGCCAACTTATTGTTTTTCATGCAAATGAAGCATCTCAACTTGCACAATTAACAGAATTCCTGTCTAAAAATGTTATACATTTTCTACTGCCCAGTTAGAGTAGCACAGTATCAGTTTTACAGTGAGAACTCTCCTGTTGGGTTTCATCTGTGTGATGTAACACTTATTTTTGAAATTAAAGCTGTGGATATTTTACTTCATGACATTTCTTGAAGGTGTGTTGGAATTTGAAGGCCTGATGAGCAAACCTCAAATGGAGCCATGCAGTGAGCCTGGATAAGTGAGTGAAAGGTCAAAGTCCTGCTTAGCAGCTCAGAAGAACAAACCATAACGCCCAAACCAGTCAGAGAAATGAAGGAGTGGGTGTGTGAAACACATGGAACAAAGTAGTTGGAGTGAGGGGTAGGACTGTGATAATCACCCCAGTGACAAAGAAGTGTCCACATCCTTAAAAGCAGCCATGGAGAAGGCCAAGGTGGGCAGGCACTGACTCTCAGGCTGCCTGAATGACCTTCATCTCCAGCTCAGTGAGCTTTGATTCACCTTTAAACAACCAGCCCCTGGGATGTTTCCAGTATCTTGCTGGTGGGTCTCCTAATGGAATTAAACTCTAATACCTTGCAGTCTGGTAGGGCTGAATGTATGGATAAAAGATGCTGAGCTAATAGTCTTTTCTACAGATCCGTAAGCCTCTTTGGAAGTACAAGCCAGGATAATATTTTCCAGAGGCTCTAACCTCTTTGGTAAAACAAACCCCCCAAGGCAGAATGTATAAGGTTTTGAAAAAACATTAAAACATCCCCTTCGACCCCAAGAAGGGTGAACAACACAACTTGTAGGAAACAAATATTTAATGCACCCAAAATCATTGCTTATGGTGCATTGCAAATAAAATCTATTTCTTCAGACTTTCCTTCCCCTCCTTGTGTTGGATGATGTATTGAACCATCACCCTTTTGTTTATCATCACACTGCTGAATTTTCTTCCAGTGGAGAATTCTCAGCCTAAGTGGTGTATTGGTAATGCAGAGGAGTGAGGGGGAGGAGAAAAGATGTTCCTGGAATTTCCCAGAATTGAAGAGCAAGGGCAACATCTCCCAAAATTCTTTCACTGATCACATGCTTAGGGATCACCTCATGTTATGTTGGTCCAGCCCTTGGGCTAGTGGTTGGCTGCTCCTTTGTAGCCAGTGTGGAAGAGCATGAGAAGCACCACCTCGATGTCTGCAGGGCTCTGAGTGTGGATGTTCATGCCCTTTCTTATTAAAGCTGACTCATACAAGGATTCATAAGATTTCTTGTACTTCCTTTCTTGTTGTTTTCCTTTTTCTTATTTTTTTTTTTTTTAATTAGGAGGCAACATCAGCTTAAAGTATACAAAGCTAGATATTTAATTTGTATTTGCTTGTTATGCCCTAATCCTACCCACTATTTAGGCTCATGAAAATATGAGCAATTGAGTTCTGGGTCTTTGTGAGTGTTTCGGGGCCCTTTGGAGTATTTTAATTCAAGCTCTCTTTGAGGTACCAAGTGTGATATCTGCAGTGGGTTAGGACAGGCAGTGCTAATTAATTTTGAGGGATGTGTTTGGCAAAAATATGATATCTGTGGCAAAAGCCCTTTGAATCATCTTGGTGGTGGTTGTAGAGTAGCTGGCTCATCAGACACAGGCAGGGGATTCTGACTTGCCTTTTTGGGGGCTGAGCTACACCTAGAACTGAAGGGGGTGGCTCTCTCATTTCTGCTCAGTAGGATGCAAGGAACCACGCCCAGAAATGTGATGGTAACCACAAATGCAATAGAGAATAGAAACACATTTTACTCAGCCACGACTCTGTCAGTGTGTCTTGGAGAAAACAGGACAAATATTTGGAGATGCCCAGTAGGAGAGGAATGTGTAGAATTGCTAAATCAGATTTTTCAGTGTGGAATTAGGTGGTCTGGAGAGTAACTAACTTTGTGCTGGCTGAGACTGTTTTCACACATTCAAGCTTGTGTTTTCAGAAAGAGGAAAAAAATTAAAAAAGTTTTTTAGTTTTGGAAGTTTTTTCAAACGCTGTTGCATAGAGAAACACTATGGGTATCACAGTATTTATGAATCAACAACTTTAAGGAGCTTAAATATGAAAAACAATATCTTTTTGTTACTTCTAAAGTATACTGTTTGAAAAGCAAAAAGCTTGTTTTCCCCACTGCAACTCTATAGACTGAATATCTGTCACTGCTTTTCATCAGATCAGCCTGGAGCTACTAAACCCTAATACCCTCAACAGACAACAGCCACAGTGCCAGGGAGGGATTGCCTGGCCTGCAGCTTCCAGAAACATGTGAATCACCCCAGCACTGTGCAGCTTTTTGTGCCTCTCTTGCAATTTCAGCAGGAAAATAAGAGTAATTAGAAAGCTCCATTTGGCACCAATGCTGCTGGTTTGAAAGTGACCTACTAAGCTGCAAACTATTCTCCCCTCCTCCTCCTTCCTTCTCTACCCCACTCACAATCTATATCTGAAATCTGGTCATCTCTAGCGTGGTGCTGTTTGGAGCTGAGCTGCTGCACTCCATGCACATTCCTGTTGTGTTTAGAAACTGTTGATAAAAGATCTCGCAATATTTATGTTGGACATACCCATGTATGTCAATACTGCCATGTCCTCGCTGCTGCCAAATTCTGTCTCTTTCTATTATTTTGATATATGGTGGGTTATTGTAGAGCACTTGCTTCTGTACTCCTTCAAATGCTTGAGTTATTCCATAGTTCCTCTCTGAGAGTCTTTTGCTGCAGCTGTGACATTACTCATCCCTTAACCTAATTAGCTGGGTTTATTTACTCTGGGAGAAGGGAAGCACAGGATGGAGAGTGTATCGTGATCCAGCCCATCCTGCAAACACACAGCAGAGGTGTGCCAGAGGAGCCTTCATGAATCTGATTTTAGAGGTCTTTGCTGCTGGAGGGGGACTGTGGTTTGGTTGCTGCTCTCTGGAGGGTT